TTATCAGTTAAATAAAAAAAGTGTCACTCTTTAATCAATCTTCAACATTGAAATGCATTCATTTTTATGCTCATGTTCTTCACAATGTCCTATTTTCTGTTTTGCTCTTCATCCCTCCATATTATTTTGATGGGTTCGTCTCTAAATGAAGAAGGTTTTGTCTTTTGTAATGCTACTTCTTAGCATCCCAGTATCAAGATCAATCCAGATTTTCTCTTTGTCTCTTACATGTGAAGTGGATGTAAAAAAACTCAAAGATTTCATCAGTACTTTTTCAAGATAACATAAAAGTTAAATCCTAAGCAAGTATTTCAAAGCCATTACATTTTGGGGGAAATTAAGTATCACCATTGGTTCTTAAAAGCCGGACTCAATTTCAGAAGCACATTCTTATAATGGACATTATTTATAGTATCTAACGTAGCTTATCTCCACAATATTGATTTCAGATAAGCAGTTTTCTATTTTTCTGGGGCTTAAATTTGACTGCCTTAGACTTCATTCTTTTTTTTTTTTTTTTTTTGAGACAGAGTCTCACTTTGTTGCCATTGGAAGAGTGCCATGGCGTCATAGGTCACAGCAACTTCAAATTCTGGGGCTTAAGCAATTCTCTTGCCTCAGCCTCCCGAGTAGCTGAGACTACAGGCGCTGGCCACAACGCCCGGTTATTTTTAGACATGGGGTCTCGCTCTGGCTCAGGCTGGTTTCAAACTTGTGACCTCAGGCAATCTGCTGGCCTCAGCCTGCCAGAGTGCTAGGATTACAGGCATGAGCCACCTCAAGGGCTAGACTTCATTCTTGAATGTCAACAACACAACCTTTAACAAAAGAATCAAGGGTAGACTTGAAAATGGAATTGTTTCAAAGGAGTAATGACAGCAAGAGAAAGCTCTTGGCTTTTCAAAAGAGGTAACATATACATAGGAAGGAATAAAAGTGAATCAAAATACAGGATTCTGTACATGTTAGAAATATCCAATGTGCCACCAACACAACAGCTGCCCTAAAAAAAATGTCTGAAGGTCTGGAGCACCTGTGTTTTTCTCTGTAACTATACATCTGCATTACCCAACCACACATCTTTCCCATGATCTGTGACCCATTAGGAAGCTTTTAACCAGAATTTTTGGCAATATGCTTTTCCTCAAATAAAACAAGCCTCATAAAAGCACTATCAATAAGGTCTGATGACCGCACCGGGCAAAGTCTTCCTGAAGTCATGTGTAATCTTTAGAAAATTCTTCTTTTCTTCCTTCATAAATCAGCAGTGCTCCATCTTCAAATGGATCATGGTCAGTCACAACCTTAATTCACACGCTCATATGTTCTCTTCATCCAACATTTTGTTGACACCATCGCAAAGTTTTTGTAAATGGGGCTTAAAATTTCCAAAGGGATTATACAAGGCAGCCAAGAATTCACAATCTGAAAAATGATCGAAGACATTATTAATCCGTCCATGTGACTTGGCAGTGAGGTGGCGCTGGATGATCTGGTGGAGCATCTCTCTGCACTCGTTCAGCAGCCTGGACAGCACGTTCCGGTCAAAGGTGTAATCCACCTGATGGAAACTGACCACCGTCATGGCCAACTGATGAACCTTCTTCTTAAATTTCTCCATCAGTGCCAGCTCATCTTGATTAAACTGATTATTCCTGTAAAGAATGGCCAGCTTGATGACCGTCTTGATGAGGTTCTTGATGACCTTCTCTGCCTCCTTCTTGTTCTGGGTGTACTCCCGGGTCACTCTGTAGAGCTCATCCAGCACCTCACTGCTCGTGTCATCTATCAAGGTCGTGGCGATAGATTTGGACACCATTTTACCCAAGATCTTCTTCTGTGCCTGAACGGCCAGGTTTTTGGAATTAAAGACATCTGTGGCCACTAAAAAAAAGAAAAAAAAGAAAAAGAAATGAGAGGGGAAAGAATAAAAGATTAGTAAATTGTCAGGAAGAGAATACAGTTAAACGGGTATTAGACAATTTTTTTCATTTTCCCACCAACTGTGGTTTACTTCCCATCTACTGATATTAGTCTCTGCTCCAAAAAAAAAATCTAAAAAATTTTTTTCTACATTTCTGAACATCCAGGATCTTATCTGTGGAATCAGAAGGTTGATGCATATAATCTTTATATGGACTTTGGCAACTCAAATATTTTGTACATTTTGTGATGTAGTCAATAGTTTCTTTAAAAGTTAAAGGTGGTAACTTTTTTTAAAAGTAACTTTTCTGGATATAAAACCAGTATATCTCACAAAGCAGTAAGTCTTTATACAATGTTTCCCTAGTTTAACTTTTAAAAAAATATATTAAAAATATATAATCAACTCTACACCCATCCTCTGGGCAACGACAACCAGGAGCTATCTAAAGAACCCATTTAAGGCTCGGCACCTGTAGCACAGTGATTACAGTGCCAGCCACGTGCACTGAGGGTTCGAACCTGGCCCGGGCCAGCTAAACAAGGACAACTGCAACCAAAAAAAAAAAAAAAAATAGCCAGCTGTGTGGCAGGCACTTGTAATCCCAGCTACTTGGGAGGCTGAGGCAAGAGAATTGCTTAAGCCCAAGAGTTTGAGGTTGCTGTGAGCTGTGACCCCACTGCACTCTACCGAGGGTGACAGCTTGAGACTTTGTCTCAAACAAACAAAAAAAAGGAACCTATTTAAATTTAAGGGGGATAAATGGAAAAGCTATGATATTGAATAAAATGGCAAATTCATGAAAGAAAATAAAAAAGAGAGCCTTGCTTTATAATCTAGTTGCAAGAAGTCGAATTTCCCAAGAAATTGGCCTAGACCCACCAGTTTGGCTGTCCTAACCACCTTGAATTTCAACTCTGAGAAGGCAAGTGTTAGAAAAAAATACTTCTTGGAAAACTCACTGTTACTTGCTATTTTGGATGGATGCGTGGCCATTGTTCCCTTTAAATTTGCATACATTTTGAGGAAATGCCATACTTGATGAGCTAATGAAATATGCTCCACGAAAAACAGATGCTTAGGGTTCACTTTTGGAATTATAGTAACTTTTAATTGGACAGGTGTTTAAAACACACATAATAGCTGTATGTATTAAATATTAAAGGAACACTACATATAATGCCAGGGGAGAGCTGGTCAGTGGCAATGCTCCATAAATGTTTATTCTCCAAACCAATTCCCTGTTTTCCTACCATAGTTTCCTCCACTCCTCCCCTACAATTGTGCCTTCTCCCTCTTCTTGGACCTCAGAACGGCAGTTCTCAGGGTGTCCACTGCATCTTCCGGCCCAAGGTAACACTCTCTATGTATGACAGTGTTTAAGCCGAGGCCCTGGTGTTGGAAAGCAGTCATTTGGTAACAAAAGATAAAAAAGCTTAAAAAATGCCAGTACGTAGGAATGAGTCAGGGCAACAGTGATGCAAAATCCTTTCTAGTTTGAACTGGTTAGCATGGTTAGGAAGCAGAAAGGCATCGCTCCCGAATCCAGGCTGGGAGGACAGATAAGACGAGTGATACCCTTAATGTGGAACTCCCGCGTTAGATTTGAAATTGTAGTAAAGGGAAGACAAATTAGATTTGAAATTTGGGCAAAGGCATACATCCACGGAAAGAACGGCTTGGCTGAACATTAGAAATGATGCCCTCCCATGTGGCAATATCGAAACTTCGGAAACATGGACTGAAACTGCAGAAGAAGAACTGAAATAGATTTTGAAAAAGAAAAGGAACGTGAAAATGTGTGAGGAACAGCTAACCTTAGGCAGGTTTCAAAGCTTTATTTATTTATTTTTTAATGTTTTCATCATTTAAGCCATAGTCTATCTCAATTCCTATTCTTCAATGATTTACGAGAAAGTACAAAGATTAATTCATACCAAAGAATTTATTAATAAAGCAAAATAAATGGCATACATGTAGTTAACATTACCATACTAAGTCTAGGAACCAGCTTTTTTTTTTTTTTTTTTGGATACAGAGTCTTAAGCTGTCACCCTGGGTGGAGTGACAGTGTCATAGCTCACAGTAACCTCCAACTCTTGGGCACAAGCGATCCTCTTGCCTTAGTTTTCTAATTTTAGTAGAGAAAATTTGGGGTCTCGCTTTTGCTCAGGCTGGTCTTGAACTTGTGAGCTCAAACAATGCACCCGCCTTGGCCTCCCACAGTGGTAGGATTACAGGTGTGAGCCACCACGCCCGGCTAGGAACCATCTTTCATCTGAGAACTACTGATATGGACCCTAACAAATTAATAAACTTGATTTATACAGGAAGGGATATCCAACGATTTTTAGACACATAGCAAAAAACGAGGATTTCAGCAATATTTTACATAAAGTTGCAAGGTTCTTATGTTTTAATATTTAGATGGTGGCACAGTCTACAAATATCATCATGTGGACAGACTTTATGACACGAAATATTGAACCCGGAGGGAGAGATATTAGTAAGATTCCTTTGTGCTCCAAGGCTGAACTTTCCCAACTTTGTACCTCCTCCAAACTCCTTTTCTTGTTAAATCTCAATGCTTCATTTACTTTCAAACATAAAGAGAAAATAAAAACTATGGTGCAGCATTTTAACTTCCTGCCACCCTCCTGCCAGCTAAGCAAGATCATTCCCCGTCTACTGGTAACCAAGTCTGAACCAAGACAGAGGAGTTCATCTCTGAGGCTTTCCTATTTGTCCTAGAGGAACCTTAAACCCTGCTCTAGAAATGCAGCGGATGTGTGAATCTTTCATTTTATTCCTCGGGTTATTCCAGAGCAGTTCTTTTTTAAGAGAGGGTGAAGCTCATTTCCCCCCTCCTTCGGGAAGACATGCATGAGTAGATTTATTTTCTGGCATTCGAGAAGGCTTTTTTGGAGCCAACCAGAAGTTGTGGCTGAGAGCTGCTGGCCAGGGATGTGTGGTCTGTGATCATGAAATATGGCTTTTTTTCCCCTGCAAATTTACTGCTGTTGGTCCTTCCCTCTCAGGCTCATCTGTCAGTTCTTCATCCTCTACCAGATCCCTGACTGGCCTGCTGTGTCTCAGAGCTAGCCCCAGACCAAGTTTTTCTCCTTCAGTCTACGCTCACCCCTGTGATCTCATCCATTCCCATGGCTTCAGATACCACCCAGGTGCCAATGACTCCCACAGTTCTCACTCAGCCCTGACCTCTTTTCCGGACTCATTTTGCAAATGCATTTTTCCTTCCCTTGGCTATTTTGCAGGCATCTCAAATGTACCGTGTCCAAAACTCAACCCTTGATTCTTGCTCACCCTCCCCCACAAGTTTTCCTCCTCCAGGGTTTACCCCTCTGACTTTCTGCTCAAATGAGTAGAGAATCACCCACCACACCATCCTCCCCCCTACCCAGTCCATTACTCTACCTTCTCCCCAGTTTTCTAAATTCCATTTTCCTCCATCTCCATGGACATCCAAGCCCCCTTTTAAATCTCTTCTATACATGCAGCATGAGTTTTTTAAAAATGTAATTAAAAACTGATATTCTGGCAGTGCCCGTAGCTCAGTGGGTAGGGCACCGGCCACATACACTGAGGCTGGCAGTTTCAAACCTGGCCTGGGCCTGCTAAAAAAATAGTGACAACTGCAACAACAACAACAAAAAACAGCTGGGCGTTGTGGCGGGTACCTGTAGTACTACTCAGGAGGCTGAGGCAAGAGAATTGCTTAAGCACCAGTGTTGGAGGTTGCTGTGAGCTGTGATGCCACGGCACTCTACCCAGGGCAATAGCTTGAGACTCTGTCTCAAAAAAAAAAAAAACAAACCTGCTATTCCATTAAACTATCTGCTATCATACCTCCTTACTCCTCATTATTTGCCTGAATTTTTATTGTCTGCCTCTCCCTATTAGGATCTAAGTTCTCTGACAGCAGAGACTTTGTCTTACATATGATCTCCTAGGCCTAGAAGAGTGCCTGGTACAGAAGCAGAAATTCCCCCCATCTTGCGGCTACTCTTAAATACTTCTCTGTGAAAACACGTTAGCCTGCAAAATGAGTTTTAAATACCTATGTGAGTGTCTTTGTTTTGAAACATAGAGAGATAGTTATTTGTGTTACTGCCCTAAATAGGTAGTTCTCTTTCCTTTAAGGGCTCTCTAGAATGTGGCTTCCCTGACAGTCGTCAATTAGTTCTTTTAAAGAGGAAAAATTTATTGGACACAATGGAAAAACACCCGAGGACAATAATACAAATATTTAGAGTCAAAGCAAGGTGCACTGGTTCTGACTCGAACCTCGAACTGCAGGGTAAGATTAAACACAGGCCCACCTCTACCTCTGGCTGGACCTGAGTGTAAACACGCGACAGGAGGACGGACCAAACCCACATCCTAGGAAGCCGGGAAGCTGAGCACAGGAGGCGCTCCCCAGGGAGAAAGGGCTGAACTTGATAGCTCACTGTTTTACTATTGAGATGAATTCACGTGCCTTTAGAAACAGACAGCTAAACTGTTCACTAAGGAAAACTAATGCTATTCACACATACATGCAAGTAATTATGTCAAAACTATTTTAAGATTGTTTTCTCAAAATAGGGTATAAACGTTATTTTATACTTACTTACCTTAGCTCCCTCCCTCTCTTTCTCTCTAGCCTCCCTTGGCCATTTCAGCAATGTTTGTTATGAAGCAAACTGATATGTAGGGGATCCTACTTTTAGCATCAACAATTATAAAGTTAGAGGTAAATATTGATGGTAAAAATATGGTTGAACCAAGTATGCAAGGAAAATGTGCTTAGAAGGGAAAAAAAGAAAAAGGTCTCGCAGTAATATTAATGAAAAACTCGTCTTCTGAAAATTAACAAAATGCCCTATGATATAACCGTTCCCACCAAGAATTTTCTAATGAAGTACTCAAGTCACTTTCTTTACAACTTCACTGGTACAAA